CGGGGTGTGTGGCTGCGGGTGCCGGGCCTTGCCGGCACTGCCGGGGTGCGTGGCCCAGCGGGGGTGGGGGGCCCCGGGGGTCCTGGGGGCACTGGGTAGTGGGCACCCTAGGGGAATGGTGGACGCCGGACGCACCACCCAGCCAGGCAGGTCACGACTCGCAAGGCGGGATGTGTTGGCGAGGTCAAACGGCAGGATCATGGGGAGGAGGGACCGGGGTGTCGGGTGCAGTGCCTGGGTGACGGGGCGGGGTGCGTGGCACTGCCTGCCACCTAGTGGGCAAGGCGTCGAGGTCAGTGAGCCTGACTCAGGTGATGGGGCGTGATTGCGGGTGCCGCGGGGGGGGGGGACGGCCCGCGCGCGTGGTGGGGGGCCTTGGGGGCCTTGGGGGCACTCGGCAATGGGCGCCCTGCGGGAATGGTGGATGGACCCACCAGCTGCAAGCAGGTCTGGATAGTAGCTACCAGTATCATGTGTCCTAGCTGGGCAGGTGTGGCCAGGCGATGGGAGGGTGGCCCTCGGTTGTGTGCTCAGTGGGCTGGGCTGGGGGCAATTATGGTGACCTTGTGTAAACAAAAAAGAGGGGTAGTGACCTAGTGTGTGGGCTGGGTGAGGTACCATGTGGGGTGGGTGCGGTACTATGTATATGGTGACCCGGTGGGTGGGGTACTATGTTGGCAAGCTGGAAGGGTGTGGCATTTATGGGGGCACGCCGACACGGGCTCGGGGGTGGTACCGCGGGACTATGTGGGCTGGGTGGTGTGCTATGTGGGTTGAAGGTTTGTCAATGATACTCAATATTAGTTTTGTGACTTTGTCAAGCGTTTGTAAATTTTATTATTATTATTTTTTTCAATGCTTTGTCGGTTACCTTTTGTCTTTCATTAGCCATTGTACAATTTGTACTCCACATGGTTTGGATTTTTATTTTATTAATGTTTTGTTTAGTAGCTTTATCGAAATTATCGGTGACTTTTTCTCTTTCATTAGCCATTCTACTACAGTAACTCCTCACACCTTGGAAATAGATATACATTTTACAACCAGAAATATCCCCACTTCAACCATCCACGTCGATTTTTCCAAAAGCCTAAGTGAGAAGCGTTTCAGCCTTTTTGAGGGGTTGGTTCAACTTGGTTGAGGCGGAAAATTTCAATGGATGAAAAGAAATGCGAGAAAACACACACACACACCACGGTCCACGGACAACCTGCCAACCGTCAGACAGTACATTTTGAAGAATGCAAAAATTTCAAGATTCGAAACAAATTTCAGTCTTCGAAGACAAATCGAACTGCCGAGGGTGGGAAAAAAAAAAAAAAAAACCATTGCACCATTTGGTCCATTTCCAATTTTGCATAGATATAAAAAAAAAAAAAAAAAAAAACATTGCACCACCTAAATAGATATACAACCTCAGACAATACTCCCAAGACTCCCAAGAGTTCGAACAAGAAGCAACAACCAATCACAATAAGATACCTGCGAGGCTACGAAGCTGTGAGGATGCAAGGCTGCGAGGGTAACAAAATAAAAGTACAACAAGCTGAAGTGAAGCAATTTTCTAACGGCCTCTGCCTGCCCGGCTATAGGCTCTCATGCTACGGGCCTAGGCCATATGACCTCCCGTCCTAGTGATAGCCCGAGCCTACTTCTCGAACAACGCAGCCAGCGCAAGTATCTGATAAATCTCTCTCTCTCTTGGATAATACTCCCAAGACTCCCAAGAGTTCGAACAAGTAGCAACAACCAATCACAATAAGATACCTACGGTCCTTCGGGACACCCGTTAAAATTGGAACGATACAGAGAAGATTAGCATGGCCCCTGCGCAAGGATGACACACATAAGATACCTACGAGGTTACGAGGCTACGAGGCTGTGAAAATGCGAGGCTGCGAGAGTAACAAAATAAAGTACAACAAGCTGAAGTGAAGCAATTTTTTAATGGCCTCTGCCTGCCCGGCTACTGACCTAGGCCATATGGCCTCCCGTCCTAGTGATAGCCCGGGCCTGCTTCTCGAACAACGCAGTCAACGCAAGTATCTGATAAATCTCTCTCTCTCTCAGACAATACTCCCAAGACGACATTCGTGTTGTCGTCATGGACGATAAGTACATTGCCGCGTCTCTTCTGACCTGCCACTACATCCCCTGTGTCCTCCCTGCCGGACGATATCCGCCGTCGTTGCATCCCTCCCTCCAACATCCAATTCGTCGCCGTCAGGTGCAATCTCTACGTCCTTGAGATGCACAACGCCCGATCCTCTCTCTCGGGAACGCATATGTGAGGATGAACGTGACGCCTTCCTTGCCGAGGCCTTCTTCCTTGCCCGAGAAAGACTCACCTTCGCGGCTCTCGTAGCATGGACATCAGACGTCTTCGTCGGCAAAACACTCCCGTGTCAGTCCTCAAACTCTGCCATGGAAGTGTGCCGAGCACCATCCACACTCCCAATGGATCGTGTCCCCATAGACGGTGCAGATGGCCTGCCAACATTCCGGACTCCCTGCTCATCCAACCCCCCAATACTCTTCCCGCTGGCATAGAATGCCACTGTCGACAAAACAGTAGCTCTGTCGCGCCATGTTGTCGGCGATGACCCAACCACATGCTATACTGTCGCTTCCAAAGTGTTTGCGACGGGGACGCCCGCATCTGCGCCGACAGCCGCGGCAATCGGATGATACTTTGAGTTTGATGGCGGACTTGGGGGTCTTGCTTCTCTTTCGACTGCGTCAACTGGCCCACCAGGAGACCCTTCCTCTGCGCCGTCAAACGAATGAGAAAGACTGCGTTGTGCGATGCTGCGCTGACCGTCGCGGTGGTGTTGCATCGCCGTCTCCGCCAAACCAAGGGCAACCTCGCGCGGTTTGCCAACACGAAAAATCGTGGGCGTGGCAGACACCATTGGGCTCGTAATTATATCGGCGATATCGCCTCCTGCCACGTCAAACCCATCCGATCCACGCTCCATGACGACAGGCTCGGTGACACATGGGGACCTGGGGATATCAACGTCGACAAATCCGGTAAAGAAACGAGCGCAGAGTCCATGGTCAGTAACTCGCCGGTACCCGGAAGACTGCCGGTGGGGCATGCGAGGCCGACATGGCCTGTGGCGCTCTGCTCAGCTGCGGGAGTGTGTGAGATCTCACGTTCTGGGAGATCGTCGCCTAGACACACAACAACGGTCCCCTGACTCTCCTCCATCAATGTAGGCGGTGGCCGCGGTACAATGTTGACTACATCGCCTCCATGAGTGCCTGATCGTTGCATATGAACCCCCTCCCTGTATACAATGGGTTGAACACTGCGAGGTGGGAGCACACTTTCTTGCTCCGCCGCTGCCAGTGGCTGTCCCACATCCGAGGTCGCTGCAACTGAGACTGCCGCTCCGGCAGACGTGAGTGGATGCAGTGCACTTACAGAACCCTCGTCCCGCACTGCCCGGAGAGGACCGATCTCTCCCTGAACCTCGGGATGATGCATCAACGGTGCTGGACCTTGCTGCGATTCTGGGACTGTTGTGGAAGGCCCCATCGGAGCTGTTGCATGCATACTCGAAGTGTCACCTCGTGGATGACCGCTCCCGCCATGCAGCTCGATCCGCTCCTCGCCGTCGTGATCGCTGAAAGAGTCCTCAAAAACTAAAATCTGCTCAGTTGCGGGGACTCGTGCTAGTGGAATGTTAGCAACCCCACCATGACGTTTGCGCACACGTGAAGCGATAGTGTCTTTTTCCCTTGGTCCGCGTTTCAAGCGCCTCAGGTCACCGCCCAGGACAGGTCGTGAACCATCATCATCCACTCCATCTCGAGCGTCATCTACTGTTGTGCGGTGCTCGCCCCCTGCCCCGTCGTCGTGCATCATGTCACCTTGTGCAGGTCGTGGCCTATCTCCTCCGTCACCGTGATCATCGCCACTGGCGCCATCGTCGTCGTCCACGTCCGGGTGACGGTCGTCGAAATCGTTGTCGCCATCCTGTGCAGGCCTGCCAGTCCTGAAGAAATCCTCGTCATCGTTGGACGAGCTCTCGTGCAAAAAGTCTCCCTCATCCCATCGCTGTCGAGGCTTGCGTACTAGCTCGCCCACTGCCCTTCCACGACTCGCGACACTATGCCTCCCGCCTGGACCTCCACACCCGTCTCGCCCACGACCGCCCCGACGACCACCTCCGCGACCGCCGCCACTACACCTCCTCCTACCAGACTGCCGCAAGCGACGAGTGGCTCCCATGCGGGACACGGCGCGCATCCTCTCTCTCGCCTGCGTCAACTCCTTCGTGACCGTCACACGGGCTCCTCGGTCTTCCATAAGCTGCTGGTCGGTGGGCACCTCCTCCTCCACTTGCTGCCAGTAGTGCACCCAGCTCCCATACGGATGTGGCCTGTCATTGGGAGCATCGTCCGACATAGCCTGCCTGTCGAGGAGCCGAAGGTTCCAATGGCATCGCACGAGCTTCTCAGCCCGCGCCACCTCCAATTTGTTAAGAGATTTGTAGTGGATGAGACTCCAACAGGACCAAGCTCTCCCGCAAGGCGACGCAGTCGCCCACACACGCAGTATCCTGCCAGCGAAGAAGGCCGTGTGCGGGAACCTCTTCTCCTTCGACTCCCAGAAACATGCTGGATGGGTATAGCTCCTCGCGGCCCGGTCCATGGCCACGTCGTCGAACGACGGCTCCCTAGAATGAAACTTGTCAATGGCAGTGAGGACCTCGTTGTGCTGATCCGAATGTTCCGGGTACCCAAACTGAATCAGAGCGAGTTTCAAACCGTGCTGCATCTCCTCGTTGTCTGGCATCGTGCGGTCTCGAAACTCGGGGTCAAACATTATGGCAGCAACATGAGCAGGCGACTTGAACATGGTACGACGTCTGTCAAACACTTCAAGCAGCGCGTCTTGCTCGTCCTTCTCCAAAGTGGCACGTGCAGACAAACAACGCACGATCATCTCGTTGTACCGATGCAAAATCTTGTCAATCTGCCTCGTGTCGCTGTCCACCATCTGCAACATGTCCATGATGGGATCCAACAACTTGCACAGCGCTCTCATATCCTCCAACCATTGCGGACAACCAACACATGCTGTGACCTCCGCGGCGTCGTCTCGAATCTTATTCGTTGACCAAACAATGTCCTTCCATCGATCATCAACGACCACCTGCATAAGATGTGATTGCGGCGGAAGAAGTCGTCCCATCATAATCACATGCGTACCGAAGCGAGTCTCTATGGGAAGCAGCAGAGCCTTCGTCGTGAAAGCTTGCAAAACTTCGCGAGCGTGGCTATGACGCTTGAAAAACTTTGTGACSAAACGCGCCYGAGCAATGCGGGTCGCCACCCAGTCAATGYCGCCGATGTCCTCAAGGATGAGGTCCATGACGTGTGCCACACAAGGAATCCAGAAGATGTGCTTGACACTCTCATCCTTCTGGAACACYTCCATCGCAGAAACGTTCGAACTGGCAGAGTCTGTGACGAAAGCAGTGATGTCAGCGAGCTTGATATCAAGGGACTTCAACCTTCGCAGCCAAGCCTGCGCCAGAGCAGTGGCATCCTTCTTTCCTCGCATAACATCTGTCGCGACGTATGTGGCGCCCCGTGTAGTGCCGACGAGATAGTTGCACAACGTTTGGCCCCGAATGTTAGTCCAACCGTCTGTCATAATCGTGCAATCGTAGGTAGCTGCAGTAGCGAGGACARGTTTCACACACTTTTGGACTTCCACATCAAGCTCATCCAGAAGTGTGGTACGGATCATGTGATACGTTGGGGGGTTTGGGGTGGGGACTCCTGGAACCCCAGGCGGGATGATCAACGTCAACATGTGTTTGAAGCTCTCAAGCTTCACACAGGTAAACGGCATGCCTCTCTCGACAATAAATCGCATGATGTGCAGGTGCCATGCGTGCTCAGCGGGTCGTTGTAATACGAGGTCACCTCCTGCTGCCTGTAAGTGTCCCTCACTCGTGCACTGGCGCCCATACCTAGCGAATCCCACACCCCGCCCCCGACCACAGGTGATGCGGTGGGGCTTGGACTCGGAGCTGCAATGTTGCGCAGATTTTGTAAAGGATCCAATGTCCCAAAAACACCGTGTTGCGAGGTCGGGCCGTTCACGGGCACAGGAGTGGTCGACGAATCCGAAACCTGAACGGGCTTGTCGAGCGGGACGTTTACCGCACCCTCAGGGGCCGTTGCAGCGGCCTCGCCAACTGGTGGCGAAGTCAAGTCTGGTGTAGGCCGTCGTGTTTGTGAAGGAGGGGGAGACAACCATGGATACGCAGCGGATTGATGTCCTGTTGTGGGTGCTCCTGCCACGGCCGGACATGTGCCTGCGCGTCGAACTCTTGGGACCTTGTCCCTGTTACCAGTGAACAACGGGGCGAGGCCGGATGATATGCCAGAGCCCTTCCCCCACCCATCGCCCTCGACGAAAGCACGAGTGTCTTGCTCGTCGAACGGCACAGGTTCCCTGACACCCGAAACAGGCACGGTGCCTTGCGCATCATGCTGCGCTGCCACATATGGCCTGGCATCAACGACTGCAGAAATCGTCTGACGAAGCGGCGCAGGTGAGACTGCCGCCGGACGAGGGGGGAGGGGAGCAAGTGGTGCACATAGAGATGGTGCCACTTGCGAGGGGGCGGCGGAACGACGTCCTCGAAAAAATGAAGAGGTGACCATTGAAAAGAGGGATGACCTAGAGGGAGACTCTGCAAGGCCTGCACGACAGAAGCCAAATCTGCAGGACACTTGGACATATCCTTTGACCAGATCGCGTGTCACACCGCCAGAGTCGCCACGGGGCATCTATACCCCTCGCCACGAAAAAAGTGTTCCTTCGCATCACGAACACTCCCACATAGAGAACGACCGCATAACCTGCACAAACAACGGCGACCGTTCTTTCTCCCGACCGCAGTGGATCCATCTAAATAACGACCACGAGCAACAAAATGCCAAACAGGATCATCTCGTTTTCCATCCGCCTTTGGATCCACCTTGAAAGGGGAGTCAAAGGTCTTCGTGTTGTGACCTTTTCAACTATCCTCCGCCCTTTTTCCCGTTGCCGAGGAGGACTCCGCGGGGTCCTTCCCGTTATTGCCTCGTGGGTCAGACATGTTGTGGAGACCAAATAAAATCTGCAGAAGGGGTGAACTCAAACGAACTCCGACGCCGACGACAAAGAACTGCACCGAAGTTACTGAACAACCGACGAATCAACCTGTAAAAGATGGACAGTGACAGGAACGTACACAAGTTCCACAACAACCACAACGACAAACAAGAGAAGGAACAAACATAAAGACCCCTAGAGCGAAGAAAAAAAAACACCCCTAGAAATAAAAAAAATAATAAACAAACAAACACACATTCCACGGCATCCCGTTTTTGCCGCACCCCCTAGACCCCCCATGCATAGCCGCTCATGGCGGTCCCCCTCGGCCCCCCATGCATAGCCGCTCATGGCGGTCCACC